GTCTGGCGGGTCCTGGGTTCGATTCTGGTCCAGGGCACATACCTCGGTTGCAGGCTTGATCTCCGGCCCCGGGCCTGACCAGGGGGCAACCAATTGATGTGTCTCTCTCACATCAATGTTTCTCTCTCTCTGCCTCTCCCCCTCCCTTCCACTCTCTCTAATAATAATGGGAAAATATCCTCTGATGAGGATAAAAAAACAACAAAAAAACCCTTTTGGCCACCGTTTGAGGGGTTGCTCGTGGCACCCTCCCCCGTGGGAATGCTGGGTGTCATGCAGGCTGTTGTAACCTGCTTTGCTTGACGTGAATCTTCACGATCAGAACTTAGCTCTGGAGTCACGGAGGGGCCTGGGCTCCCAGAGCTGCTCCCCCAGGAGGAGGGTTATTTATTTCCGGCCGCAGAGGTACCCTGCTGCGCGGCTCCTCTCCTCCTGGGCGCACGTGTCTGTGTCATCCCTGGAAGGAGGGGCGGCAGGGGCTGGAACTTAGCTCCGGAGTCACGGAGGGGCCTGGGCTCCCGGAGCTGCTCCCCCAGGAGGAGGGGTTATTTATTTCCGGCCGCAGAGTTTCCTGGCAGCAGGTGCACATGTCTGTGTCATCCCTGGAAGGAGGGGCGGCAGGGGCTGCTGACCGTGTGGCCACGTCTCAGAGGGCACTTTGCAGGACCCCTCGGCGTCTGAGTGTTCCCCTGCTCGCTTGTCTCGGCTCCTGTCTGTGTCTGGAGCCGCATGTCCCAGGTTTCAGCTGGGACACCCCGTCCTGGCCTGTAGACTGACCACTTCACTATGTCACTTTCCTGCTGCCCCCTCCGGGCGGGCGCCCGTGACAATGGCAATGCTCCTGCGGCTCTGTGGGGAGGAACGCGTCCACGCCCATTCGTGTTTGTTTTAACTTTGTCGCCAAAGGGTCAGAGAAGCCGTGAGGAGATGGTTCTCTGTCGCCGCCTGTCTCCTCTCCATCCTCTTCCTTTCGAAAGAAACGGTCCCTTGGATGCGTGGGGGCAGCTCCGCCGGTGGCGACACGCCAGCCCCCCACCCCTGCCTGGAGCAGGCGGCTTTTCAGGGGGTGACATCTGATTCAGACACGAGGCAGCTTGCTTTTCGGGAGCCCGATGGGCGCGGAGCGGTGACATTTCGGATGGTCTTGTTTCTGATGGAAAACAGAACATCTCCTTGGGCAGGAAGAGAGTGCGGCTCAGCGGCTGTCCCGTTTCCATCCCCTCCCAGGTGCCGGCCGCGGTCAGTGAGGAGGGGCCGGCCTCCACTTGAAGAGGAAGGAAAGACCCTTAGAAGCAAGGAGTGTTCCCCCTGTTTCCATCCCCTCCCAGGTGCCCGCCGCGGTCAGTGAGGAGGGGCCGGCCTCAGCTCGAAGAGGAAGGAAAGACCCTTAGAAGCAAGGAGTGTTCAGCTGAGGAAGATTCGACGGGCTCATGGGAAGCCCCCATGAACTGCGTTCGTGAATATTAAAATTCCTCTAACCGTTGACAGAGTCATGATTTGCAGAGAGGTAGGATTCGGGGTTCCTTCTGCAGACCCAGTGGGAAAATGGAATGCGTTCGTGAATATTAAAATTCCTCTAACCGTTTACAGAGTCATGATTTGCAGAGAGGTAGGATTCGGGGTTTGGCAGGGCTGTAAGGACACATTCCTCTCTTACTTCACCCAAATGCACCCCCAACGTAAAGTGTAAGGTGAAACTAAAACAGGAAGACAAGTGAATTTGCATGGGTGAAGAGGAGACCAGATGGTTTATGGGAATGTAGAAAATGTGTCTAAGTCGAGGTAGGGTAGGGGGCGCCAGTCCTGAGAATTCCCTGGGCCTGGCTGGGGCGGAGGGCGTTGGGGGTTAGTGCCTGTCCTTGACGAGGGGAAGGGTCTGTAGTATTCGTGCTAAACTATTCATGGAGGCCTCCCCTGCCCAGCGCCAGGATGTGAACAGGCCAAGGGGAGCAGGCGGGGCCGGGGCAGGAGGGGAGGACCACACAGGCACCGACCGCTCTAGCTGCACACAAATCCACGTCCGAGACTCTTATAAACAAAGCTGCGTGGCGGTCCAGAGGGAGGTGAAATCGCATCTCGTGGTAAAAAAGGGGTGTTTCATGGAGGTGCCCTTTGGTTGCATGAAGTAGGATTTCAAAAGGCCAAAGGGGGAGGGGGCTCCAGGCCGAGGACCAGCCTGAGGGCAGCCAAGGACAGGTCAAGGACAGGTCAGCAGGGGAGGGGCAAGCCCAGCCACTCAGCTCTGGGACTGGCTGCACCGAGTTCCCTGGAGAGCCCTGTGGTCCTGCCCACCACCCCGCCGTCTCTGTGGCTGTCATCGCTGGCCTTCGGGCCCCACATTCTTCACGTTCTTTGAAATATGGCTCCCAGGCGTCAGTCCACAGCCACGGTCATTGGTCATTACCACCCGGTCTTGCCATGGCAGCTGTTCTCACTCCTTATCTCCACCAGCCCTGCTCGCCCCCCTCTCTGCGCCAGCTCCACTGGCCCTCAGCTTCTCTCCTCTCCGAGCTGCGCTCCGAGCCTCACTGCAACTCCAGCCCCGCTGCTTCCGAAAGCAAACCCCACACACCCACCACCTGTCTGACCAGGACCTCCTGCCTCCCATCACCCACTTTCTCCCTCCCTCTGCCCTGGGTTTCTGCACCCCGAGACCTCTTGCCGCTCCCGTGGGGTCCCCTGGGTCTCTATCTGCTGCGCCACCCCTGTCCCTGTGCAGGCCGATCTCGGTGACCCTGGTCCGTCACTCTCCCTGGGCTCCTTGATTCTGCTGCCCAGCGCTCTCCCCTCGCGCCTTCTGCCCGGTCGCCTCCGCCCCGCACCAGGCTCCTGAGCAAGCGGAGGCCTCTCCCAGCAGAAGGTCTGGGCTCCTGCAGATTCACGGTCCCACCCAGCTGGTCCCCCATCAGGGCCCTTGAACCTCCTCCCACCTCTTCCAAACTCCCCGTCCGCACACTCGGTCACCTTTTCCCTCACTGTCCCCCTCTCCGCACTGTCCTGCTTCATAGGCCACTGAAAAGAAACCCCAAGGTCATTAGGTAACAGCTCTCAGGTCCCCCCCACCTCCTGGGAGAACCCCAATCCGCACGACTCCCTCCTTTTCTCCTGCCTGAGGACTTGAATCCTCTTCCAGAATTTCCTGTCCGCCCGCCTCCCAGACAACAATCTTACTTCTCCTGGATTAGCAACCACATTGGTGGGGTTTTAGAAAGTGAGAAAACTGAGTCCTGACAGTGGACCGCAGGGTCTACACGACCCAGCCCCCGTCTAATCTCCGCGCCTCCACCTTCCCCAGGGTTCGTGTGGCTCCCTCCTCTCGCTGCTCCTGTCTTCTTGTGATTCTTTGAAAATGCCAAGTACACTCCTACTCCTGGGCTCTCAACGTCAACGCTCCTTTTCCTGGGAGGACCCCCAGTCTCGGCTCCCCTTCCCTCTTCCCTCAGGCTTCGGGTTAGATGTCAGCTCGCAGGGAGGCGCTGGCTGCGCTGCGGGGCCACCCCCCAGGCCTCAGCCTCCCAGCACCCTCACGCTGCACCTGGAGGCACCCCCGAAGCAGAGGGAGCGGGAGCGGAGCCCAGGGACGTTCTGCTCCTGCTGCGGCCCCAGGCCCAACCTGCTGGCCTGGTGGGAGCCACGCAGACACAGGCTCACGTTGCTCCCACCTGAACACAGTGAGAAAGCCCTGGTCAGCCTCTTCCCCTCTGCCCCCCCTCACAGACACCCTTCTCTTCTGGAAAGGGGCCCCCAC